AGGAGAGAAGTGCTTGGGGTCAAGCTCTTTTCCACTGGCCTTCATTTTCAGGATGAAGACCTGACAAGCACGTCGGGCAAGGCGATCTTGATGAATGAAGTCCTTCCAAACATGCATCTGCTCCTCTGGCCATGGCACCTGATAAAGCCGGTCCCCATGTTGACCATAGGCACCCTTCACCTTCTCTTTCTCTGGATTCGAGTGGCCTTCATAGTCGACAAACATCGTGAGTCCTCTCCAGAGAAATGGTGCCTTCCTCCTGGGACGTGCAGAGACATCAGCTGCCTTTTCCTCCACAATCATCGCTTGACCCACTGTAGGACCCAGCAAGACACTACTGCGATCTCAGTGGAAATTGATGAGGTGGCTTCTGAAACCGTTTACGAGGAGCAATGTGCCAGCGGGCTGCTGTCACAGACCTCCTTCAAAGCTTGTAGTTCTCTTTTGGAGAGCCATTCACTGGCATGTTGAGGTTCCTGCTGTCGCCCCTTCTTCTCCTGAAGCTCCTTTTGTGACGAAGACACCATCAGGGTGGTATAGAAGCTGCTCTTCAGGCGTTTTGCCAGCTGTGGAGTGTCCTCTTCAGCTGTTCGCTTGAGGGCTGCAGCAGGGAAGTCATCCAAGAGCGCATGACGCCGTTGGCTAGGCGTCTGATTCTGCAGCTGTTGCTTCATTTGCTCAAGAGCATGTCGATGCTGATCTGGCATTCTTTCATCATCAGCTCTGACATAGTCATCTTCTCCCTTTTCTACCTCCTTCCAGAACTCATCATCGGAGTCAGGCTCTTTTCCTGGATCTTCAGGAGGTTCGGAAGGAGTGTACTCACCATCTTCTATCGGCAGCTCGGGAAGCTCTGGTTGACGTCCTCCAACGCTGCCATCCTTGATTGCCTTGAGCCGAGGTCTTTTCTGGCGCCGGCGATCTTCAATGCCAAGCATCTGTTTAGCCACCTTTTTCTCACGATCGCCAAAGAGCTTCTTCATGGAGCGCATGCCACTCATCATCCTTCGAGCTTCCCCAGCGACTTCATCTTTCTTCCTCTGGGCGTCCAGAAATTGACGGACCTCCATCTGAGCGTCTGGAGGCGACTTCAATTGCGTCAATTCTTCATACTCTTTGCGCCCATCAGGTTCTTCTTCTCGAAGCTTGAGCTCATCCATCTCTTCTTTCACAATGTTCGGGGCTGTCTCCTCTGAAGTAGCTCGGCGAAGGTTTGGACCTGCCAAAAGAAGACATCTCCCCCTCCAAGACACGAAGTACTTCTGGTGGGATTCTTGCATCACAATCACAGCAGGCCCCCTCCATCGTCCAGAATCCTTTCTATAGCGAGCCTTACCCATCTTGGGAACGAAGAAAAAGACGACCTCCCCAGGATGAAATGGCGGGTCTGTGGCCTTCTCATCAATGCTCGCTTCAACTTCTGCTGGATGTCATCTCGTAGGAGGATCTGTCGAGCAGCATGACGTACTTTGCAGCTTTTCAACATCTCAGCATCAGTATCAAGACCTTGGGCTTGGGTCAATGGCTCATAGTCTTCATCAGCCAGCAACTCCGGATAGGAGACATTCTTGCCAAAGACCAGCATGTTTGCTGAGTATCCCTTTCGGGTCACAAGCTCATTCTTTGCCTCGGTCGCGGCTGCTAAGGTGGCTGCCATTTCTGCAGAAGACTGAGCATTGAACTGAACATTGAGGGCACGCCAGATCATACCCAAGATGCCACCATGTCGTTCGGCAAGTGCATGTTGCCAGCCAGCATGTGCCGCGGTGGTGATGGAGTGAATGCCAAAGCCTTCAAGCATCAAAATCCATTCCTTCTCAAACTCACCACCCTGATCGAGCACCATCCTCGTAGGACGACCAAAGATGGCAATCCAATGCTTGAGAAACTTCTTAGCGACATATCCGGGCTGACGAGTCTTCACAAGAACGGCACGGTGGTAATTTGTCCCGGCATCCACCATGGACAGAGTGACAACGGTCTGGCCTTTGATGTTTTGAGCATACTTCAAATCAACATGCACCTCCACATTGAAAGCAGCCGGCCTGGATGATGGCCTTTGAGTCGGAGGCTTGCCAGGCTCTTGAACTTGTTCACATGTTGGACATCGGAAGGATGAAGCTTGCTGAAGTAGTTCCTTTGGAGCTCCACCGAGCTTCAGCATCCTGTGGAGCGTTGTATTGCTTGGATGGCCAAGACGAAGGTGAATCTTCTTGAGGACCTCCTTCTGAGATGGAGAGGTCTGAGTGACATCTGGTCCGCTCCCGTGGCGGTTCATAGGTTCATTCACCTTCTCATATTCATGGTCCAGAGCCTCCTCCAGATCCATTTTCAAGGCATCGTCGTGCGACGTGTCATCTGACAACCAAAGGACTTCGTACTTCTCCGCGAGAGGATCGTTGACATGGATTTTACAGTATACATGTTCGAATCCACTTCCATGCATGAGCCTATCCAGAACAACATCTTGAATCATCACCGTGGCCGTCAGGTCATTACGAACAACGATGTCAAGGAAGAGCCCAATATGCTTGGAAACGGCTGCGGCAACAGTTTTACCGGCGGAGGTCCTTTGGTTCAAGCCCTGTCGCAGTGTCGAACTTCACGGTCACTCTGACCATGGTGCATGGTGCAGTCACACATGGACCCGAAACAGACCTTGCGACTTTAGCTCCGAATCCGAGTTGAGTCAAAAACTTGGAGACCTCAACGATTTCACGGCCTCCATCGTCAGTGGAGACTGACAAGCTGCAACGGATGGGCACGCTTGAGTAGGGCATTCCTAACTCTTGCGCGTTCTGAGGCGTGACAATTGCAAAAGGAGCCGTGGAGTAACCTACCCTTTTGACCACCTCGATCCACCTGATCCTTGCTCACAAATGCAAAACCACCGATGCCATTGAGTTCATTGTACGCACATGCGCACACTCCATTCATCATCGAGAAGCATAGGCATAGTGTGTTGCCATGCAGCAGACTTGTTTGGAGGACGAAAAGCTCGTTTTGGAGACTTTGACTGTCACTTTTGGAGGAAGTCTCGTACGAAATGCTCGTTTTGGAGTTTTGGAGAGTTGACGCGTGACGTTTGGAGGAAGTCTGGTATGAAAAGAGCCAAGAGCTGTCGAAATCTGCAAACCTCGTTCCCAAAGAACTATCAAAACATGGTCCTTCCCACAACTGCGCACAACGTAACGTGGTTGCATGTTTTAACACATCTCCGATTCTGGAAAGAGTTTGGTGCACATGAAAAGTTCCCCTAAATATTTTTCCAGGAAGGCATCAACTGACAAACAAATTTCTAACATGCAAAAAAATGAATGTCCAATCAGCACCCTCCATATGCAATCAGTTGAACGTGGTGGTGTGCCACTTGCCAACCATTTATACATGCCAACTCCACACGCTCCTCATTGAAGTCGGCAAAGGATCCAGATCATCACACACACCTGATCCCTTGTCGGCGTGGGGGATCAGCCCAGCAGTCGGGGGAGTCCACCATTCCAATGGTCCATGAAAGGAATCTATTAGACTGGAGTCTCTGCAGTGAACGGCAGGAGAACGTGTTTCCCCTCGACTTCAGCAGTACGATTGTGCACAATCCGCTTTTCATTTCTTTGGCGTTGGCGCCAATCTTCTGCAGTCTGGATTTCTTTTGCTTCTGCCGAAGACCATTTAACACTATAAGGACCGTATCCTTGTGAGAACGAACACTGCGCTTTTGCGATGCGGCTGGAATGTTTGGATCCTTTTGTTTACCATACAGTCGCGTGCGTTGCTGGGGCCCATGCCACTTGGCTTCAGCCAATTCCGCAAAACTGACGGATTCGGTTTGATCTGCATCAGGCCAAGTTAAACAGCGCCAATACCGAACTAAAGGCTCAAAAAGCAGGGGTCCAAGGGCAGGCACCGCCCTTGCTGTAAACCTCCAATCTGGGGGTATTGCACCGAAGAAAAAAGAGTTCCCGGGTTGCTGATCCCAGTCCCATGGATAAGTTGGAAGCAATCGCTTGGCCTCAATTAATTCGGGCTCAGTTTCGGTAGCAGCACTTTGTGTGTCAAGATGCTGTTGACTACTTTGGTTTCGGAGACTTGACGAACTTGACGCGTGACTTTTGGAGGAAGGTCTCGTATGAGACGCTCGTTTTGGGAACTTGACGCGTTACATTTGGAGGAAGTCTCGTACGAAACGCTGAGACTTGACGCGTGACTTTTGGAGGAAGTCTTGTATGCAACGCTCGTTTTGGAGACTTGCCGCGTGACTTTTGGAGGAAGTCTCGTACGAAACGCTCGTTTTGGAGACTTGCCGCGTGACTTTTGGAGGAAGTCTCGTACGAAACGCTCGTTTTGGAGACTTGCCGTGTGACTTTTGGAGGAAGTCTCGTACGAAACGCTCGTTTTGGAGAGTTGATGTGTGACTTGCGGAGGAAGTGTCGTACGAAACGCTTTTTGGAGACCCTACGCGTGACTTTTGGAGGAAGTCTCGCACGAAACGCTCGTTTGGGAGACTTGACACGTAACTTTTGGAGGAAGTCTCGTATCAAACGCTTGTGTCGTAGGAAGTCTAATTTGATAGACTTGCAGTGAAGTCGTGTATGAACCCCGCGCTAGGAGAATATGAGTGGGTTGGACTGTGTTCGCCTCGCGTGCTCTAACTCGTCGTCTCGGGTCGTCGTGCTGGGGCCCGCTGGGGTCCATTGGGCGAAGCTTTTGTCGATGGAGGGCAATCGTCAGATTCGTCGCAAATACCGTGGTTTTGGGATGTTGACGAGTGCCCTACAAGAGTCAAGAGTGTCCGTGTCTCACAAGAGGAGTTTCCTACAAGGGAGCCCCGCAAGAGTGTCCTACAAGAGTGTTTCCCGAGAGGTCCCAGCTGGAGAATCCTGATGAATTCTTCCGGGGTCACACCACGTGCTGAGGCTCTGTTTCACTAAGCTCGTGCTAAGCTCTGTGTCGGGGTCCAAAAGGTTCGTTCCACTCCCGCCCCACTCTGAGTGTTCAGCAATGCCAACGAGGCCGTTGAGGTCAGTATTGATTTTCAATCCTTTCAACCTGGAGCAAAAACCACGCCCACAGGGGGGAGGTTGCGACGGCACCCGCCACCACAAGACAAACTGGGTAAAGGAAATTAATCACGAAGTATTTACCAGTACTTATTCCCTTCTGAGAACCATGTTCCTCGACACGTTCAGATAGCCCGTTTCATATTACATACCACTGGTTTCTTCGTTGGAATATTTGAAGGCCTTCTCTAACCACATGTTTTGTTCACCACTGCTTTACAATCATCATGTTCTGCCAACTGTCGTTTTCTTTCCATTTCGCCGTGTTTGGTGTCAGCTACCCGAGCACTCGGTAGGAGATAGGTGCAGGCCACCCTTGAGGTGGCACAAAGCATGTTGAAGCAACATGTGGTACCAAATCAAGTCCTAAGGATCTGAAGGCATGTGTAGGCCACCCTTGAGGCGGTGCAAGAAGCAAAACAAGTGAAAGCCCTGCATGGAACCGATCACACCATCGCACCGCGAACAACAAGGACTTGAGCTAGGACAAATACAAGCATACTCTCCACAATTTCCATTTGAGAACAAATTCTGTTCTATGTATGCAACAAAGAAGTGGTGTTCCCATTGAAAGCAACAAAAACAAACATCCCATCTAATGGCTCAACAAAACAAGCCACGAGACTCTCGCTTTAAAAGGCACACTCGCTCGCACACATGCTTCTTCTCTAAGGCCGTCTTAAATGTGAGGACTGCTCTTTTGTTGGGCGTAATCAAACACACAGCGGTGCGGCATGGTGCGGCACCTCACACAGCTGTAGGCCGGGAATCTCGCCAAGGCTGCTTGGACCTCCTCGCTGGGCACCTGGAAAAGGACGAGTCGCGGAGTTGACCTCGTTCCGGTCCGTGTCGGTGACCACACATGCCACACACGGGAGATCGGTGGCACGTGCCGCAAACGGTCTGATGTGTGCCATTCTGGTCCGCAGCTTTGGTAAAACCGCGTTCTGGTCGCTCACGAATCTATTTGATTTCCTTACACCGTACACCATTGCCATACGACGCTTACAACGGTACAAACTTCTATACTTGTATGTTCATTTAAGAGACAAAGCGAGATAGGTGTCTCCGGAGCACAGCACCCCTCATACTGCGAGCAGATCGAAGCCTGCCATAAGAACCTTATGAATAGCTGCCACACGTCGACTACCCAAAGATCAAAAAGAAATAAGAGGTGGTAAATGGTGACAATATCGCTCTCTTCGTTATTTATATACAGTCCTGTATCTTGTCAAAAGTGGTTGCTATGACTAGCGGACTGTTGCCGGATCATGCGAGATCGACGCCAAATTCTTATACCATTCTTCAGCCTGGAAAACCATTGTGGATGGGACGGTGAAAGGGTCAAAGCTCAAAAGTCCACAAGTTTCACGTGAAGGACTCATGGTTTACCACATAGTACCAGGATAGATAAAGCCCAAAACAATCAACTAACCCGGGTTTACTTTTGGGTGCCTAATTGACATTGTGCTGCAGTCTGCTTGCATTGTCATTCGCATAGACAAACTGAGAACCTGATCATTGTTGAACCGTAACACACCCATTTCAACTTAGCTTGTCGTGATGTTTTGTATTGCTATGTTCAGTAAATTTGAAGCTCCGTCATCGGATCACCCAAACTGATGCCAAAGCGGCACCCACTTTGGCACCGCCTTTGCAGTGGGATTGGGAATTACATAAAACCAGGAATGGACACGTCAGAGCCGGGAAAAACCGGAGCCTCCGTTTGATTGCGCCTCATGGGGGGCACTCCTACACATTTTGGGCGGGAGTTCGCGCCGCTGCCGAGTGCCTGCACACTCGGTGGTGGCGCCACGGTGCGTTCGGGACTCTGGGAGCCACGGCGTGCCTGAGTCCGGTGCTCTCGTGCGGAGCCACACGGGACGTGCGCGCCAAAAAGGAAAGGGTCTTTAGGAAACTCCGGGTCTACATGATCACAGTGAACACACTTATGAATAGTTATATGATATAACTTCGATTGATTCCCCAGTCTGGGGCTCTGTGACGAAACAAACTCTGCTGCCAGACTCTTCCGATGTAGGAACACAAACATCAAGAACTCTCTGTGTCAAATGTGTGCCTCAAACACAACACTTACGTTAGTTGGCAACATGAAGAACGCCAAACACTTTCTACCCGTTGATTGTTGCTGCTGGTGCGAGCCTACAAAGCAGGTTGCAAATGTAAGGCTTGAGGAACTGTTCCCGTGTCCAGCCAGATTGGAAGGCTTGCCGTTCAACTGGACCGTTATAACCTCCACCCCATGAAAGACCGACTACAGTGTCCTGTACTCCAAGTTGGCCAGTGACAGTGGCCACAAGAAAACACTTTGTTGCTCACAACTGCAACAAATTCTTCTTGCTTGAAACTTGGTCTCGGTCGTTTGACATCTGAGACAACACGGGATAAACAAGGCTATGAATGGTATTACAATGCATCAACCTTCACGCCCGAACCTATGTATCAACATACCCGCCCATGGAAGAAACTCGAATCTTTTGGGACCAAACCAGTTTTTGATCAACCGGTGAAACGACATGCTGTGAGTCCGTGGGTTCCTTTGGGGTTCAGGACCTGCACAGTACCGCCTCAAGCCCAAGCGCCTTCTTTTTGTGTGGGGAAGAGGATGCTTTCCTGGCCCAGACAAACGCATCTTTTCGATGTGGGCGTGTTTTCTGGATGTGTTTTCAAGCCTGACATCCTGAACGCGTCTAGTCTACAGTACTCAAAAAAGACCGTTTCAAACAATGCGTTTCTAATTTGCAGAAACTTCCATTATACCCGAGGCTCGCCCGCCGTCGCAACGTTGAAACACAATTTAGATTGGTGTAAAGTTTTCCATTACTGGGTGCCCCTGCCAGGTATTTCTGTTGATCTATCTAGAAATTAGCCACATAGTTCCAAAAAATTTGAACATGTTGCCGATAAAAACCAACGTCAATGAAACCAATTGAAGTTGAGTATTGCTGGAACATTGATTTGCTTGGTTAATTTTCACCTCAAACAAAGGGACGGACTGCAAATTTGAACCATAGGATTTTATGCCCGAAAAAACAGCAATTAGATGGGAAATTGAGAACCCATGAAGCGAAGGAACATGGAAATCCACAGGTTGAAAAATACAACATTGATAGGACAAATATGCGACATGCAAGAACCAAAACGTTTTAGAACGCAAAAGTAACCGAGTCTGTTGTAAAAAACCGAGACGGCGTTCACAAAAGGTACTGGCAAACCAAGGTGCTTGGCGTTTCTCGAAATCGGAAAAAACACAAGAGAAAAATCCAACTGGGCATGAATGCAATGGCAAAGTTTCGCACTTGTCAAAAAAATTTGTGCCGTTTGTAAATGCATCAACAAATGGGTTCAAAAGTGTCAGCCTTTTCAATATGCGCCATGCGGCGATATGAACACGGCAATACGTCAGTGCCTTGGTGTGTGCCCAGATATGCGGAAAAACATGACAACATCGCAACAAGCCAAAACCATGGAACCTTTTCCGGAAACGGCCTTGGAACCCGCCAGCAAGTTAGCACGGCAGCGTGACCCGATGGTCGCATCTCAGCGTGACAAGGTGTGAGCATGTTTAGTAGCAAACACAACCAGTTTAGCACGTTACTCTGCATTTGCACGATCGCCGCCCATCCAGGGCAACTGCTCTGCAGGGTATCTTTAACGGACATAACCTTAGCTTTCAAAGCCGAACCCTGCAAAGGCTCGACTTGAAACAATGGCTGAACGACAAAGCTGCCCTACGTATATCAAGGCAAATTCTGGTTCGAGATGGGCTGGGAGAAGCGATGCGAACGTGAGCGCTGGGCTCATAGAATAGTGTGCAGTCTGCCATACACAACCCATGATGAAGGATCTGACTTTGTGAAGTTCGGCACAATGTCACAGCTGGTGCACGCCCTGTCCAAACGTGGCCTGAGAAACTTGCATCACAAAGCAAAGCTCGAGGAACAGGCAGTTTCCGTCCCTAAAACATCCTGCATGCGGACTCAACTGGCGAACAATCAAAGCTTGTTGTTTGCAAATGGCTTTGGAGATGGGTTTCAGTGAGAACGATGACATCAAAGTCTAGCTCTAAAATACGGCGTCTCTAAACTGCCTCCTGCAATCCACCAATATTCAGGGTGGCAATGGAAAGATAGGAGTCGCGAACCTGCCGATGCTGTCGATACCACGACATCTGAAGGTCGACCATGGTTGCCATGCAAAGCATGCATGAGCTTGTTCCGAAGTTTCCGTACAATGGTCCAAACTGAAGCACATGGCAAAATGAAGCCATTCTCGTGGAAAAACAAATGTGCTACAGGCCGTTGTGGTGTGCAAGAAGCATCCCTCGATGTTTGTCCTTGCATTGCAATCTGGGCCTTACGACGATGATCACCTTCTTCTGCAGCTGCTTGAAGCTTATTTTCAAGGGAAACTCCTTGCGTAGGAACGATGTCGCCCTCTTGCTCCTTAACAAATGCAATTGGCGCATAGAAATACACTTTTGAACTCTTGCTCTGCGACGCTTCACCCTCTGGCGGTGATGCTTGCACCTGTGAGAATCCAGGATCCACAGAATGTCGAAAAAGGACCAGGGGACCGAAGGCCAGGGGATGAAAGGACCAAAGGATGGGGGACCAAAGGACCAGGGGAGAAATGGACCAGGGCATCACTGGACAGGGGACCAACGGTCCAGGGGCCTACTCAGGATCATTGTATAAATTTGATCCTGTTCTCATTCCCCACCTGTCAGGTGAAGCTTGCAAGATTTTATGTCAGCTGCCGTGCTTCTCCTTCTCCTCTCCTCTCCTCCGCGACCTCAACCGCAGGTGTCGGATGGCAGTGTTCCCCGCCGGACCTCAACCGCAAGCGTTGGATGGCAGTGTTCCCCGCTGGACCTCAACCGCAAGTGTCGCAGATGATGGCAGCGTTCTCCACCGGACCTCAACCGCAAGGGTAGGATGGCAGTGTTCCCCGCCGGACTTCAACCGCAAGTGCAGGAGGGCAGCGTTCCCTCCGCCGGACCTCAATTGCAAGTGCAGCAGGACCTCAGCCGCAAGAATGTCAAAAGATATGCCACATATACCTGAACGACTGCCAAGAAAGACTGTCGGAAGATATGAGTCAGCGTCAAAAATATATGCTTGGAGTGTTTTCGTTTCACTTTTGTCAGTCCCCTATCGTTTTCCATGGCTTTGGGTTTTGCAAGTATGAACATGAGTACCCTATCGTTTTCCATGCTTTTGACCCCCCTCTTGCGAACAGCAGCACACACACATGCACATGGACCAACTTGCCAGGTCTAGGGTAGGGGTAAAAAACACAGTGACAAGCGGTGCCAGGAGGATTTGCCTCTCACATTGCATGTAAATAAGAACTGGAATCTGCACAGCCTTGGTTAACATGCATTGAGAGCCCCCCAAATCCACAACGCGACTGCTAGCAACAGGATATATCCGATCCAGGAAGCCCAACATGGAGGTGACCCACACCTGCCTCCTCCGAGCTGCACACACATTTTCAGTTCTGAGAAGATGAAGTGCTAGAACTGGAGCTGTCGCTGCCAGATGACGAGTCCGAACTTTCTGAGCCAGGGTTCATTGCAGCCTTTTTTTGTGCTACAGCCCTTTGCTTTTGCTTCTCTGCCCATTGCTTTCTTTTCTCAATCAAGCAATGGGCATCTGGCACCCCTGTGAAGCGCAAGTTTGCCCCATCTGGAAGTAGGTGGCTCTGGTCGCTCTGCCTCCTGGTCAAGGTAGTCTCCTCGTGAAGACCCAGGGGCCTAACATCATGGTCCCACCGCTCTCGCCCAGTTTCAGACCAAAAGCCTCGGCGGTATGCAGGGGCAGAATCCTTGCTGGGCAGGAGTTCCAAATCACTGGTGAGATTGGTGGCTGCAACCATGTTGGAGAAGACATGGTTGAACACCTTGACGCCCAGCCTGCTGGGACCTTGAGCCACTGGAGCACTGGAAAGACAATATGTTCGAGTAATGTGAAATTTTTTCGCCTGCAGGCGATATCTTTCGTTCGCCGGCTTTTTCTGGGAACCGACATCATTGATGATCACCAACAACGGGGCAGTAGCGTCTGCGCTGCGTGCTGCCTGGTTTTTGCCTGCAAGAAACTTGCACAAGTCGGCAATCTCAACCAGGTCAGTGCCTTGCTTGCGGGCATCTTTCACATAGCGCTCAAAGATGGCAAATAATCTGTCTGCCTCGCTCTTGAAATGTTTTTCCACACCGTAGTGGACACATACTCGAGCTTGGTGCTGCACTGGCAGGACGCAGCAATAGTGGTGCAGTGCTTCGTAGGATCTAAAGTGCGGCCCGGCATCCGAAAGAAGATGAATGGTGTCCACCGGGTTTGTTCCCCTGCGTTGTCTCAGTGCCTGGTCGATGCACTGAGATGCCCGACAAGAGGTGTGATCCAAAATGTCTGATAGGATCAGAACCCGGGTCCACTCCACAGTGCCATCTCTTCTTCTTTCACTTACGACAGATCCAAAAATTGAGATTTCAATCCGTGCGTTTGCGAAGAACTCTTCTCCAGTCTGTGTGCTGCGGACTGGCAATGTGAAGAGTTCTTTGAAGTCTGACAGGACAACCACGGTACCTGCAGGAGGCTCCACCAACAGGTTTGTCAGCACTGGCTTTTGAAACTCATTGGCAGAACGATGGAAGAGGTAGCTGTCCAAGAGTTTTGACATTGCTTCCAGTTGCACACACATGTCCGCCTCCTTTGCGAAAAGGGTTACACGATTGCGCTGCGGGAAGCCGCTGCGCCTGTTCCGCAAGCAGCCCAAGCCACATGGCCAGGAGGTGTGCCTGTGTCGCCGACATGCCTCCTGAGCAGAATGATGCTCCACAAAATGCCGCAGCTGCCGCAAATGCAGGCCTGGCTTCTCAAGCAAAGAGTCATGGCCCTCAAACGCATCCCATTTGGCAAAATAGTTCGGCATGATGGCCGTGAGTTCGGAATGCACAGTGGCAAGCAAATCTTTCACCTGAGGGGCAGGTCTTCCAAATCTGACTACTTTCAGTTAAGCAACAAAAACAAAGCAACACAGAAGGCTTCGTGAGAGAAGTGGCTACTCCAGGCTACTCCATACTCTATATTAGTTACGCAGGCATGCATGGTTTGGGCACGCTGCCTGGGGAAGTACTTTCTTCTTGAGATCGTAGCAATAGATGCAATAGTCATTGATGCTATCCGCTTCTTTGAAATGTCTCAAATGCTTCTTTGCTAGACGCCAGAACGTGGACAAACCCAAAGATGCTCGTATCTCGGAACCTTGCTGCCAGATGCTTTTCTTGTCCTGCTTCAAAGTGCTCACGATCTTCCACTCCTGGTCCTGCGGGTCCCACGACAAACGGCTGCTAGGCTGTGAGGCTGCTGACAAAGCTTGCTCCACCATCTCTATGAGCTGTGGGTTGTTCTTCTTGTCAGGTCTTCCTCGCTTCCTGAGAGCGGGCTCTCGGTTCTGCTCTCCGGCACGTTTCCAGCGGATCCGCCCCATGCTAAAGCCGAATTCAGCTGCGCGGGCTTGAGTGCCACAAAATTCACGCACCATCACATCCACATGCTCCCTAACCAAGCGCACTGCATCCGGTGGGTTTGGCGAAGCAAACCCGGGGCATTTTGACAGGCGACCCAGAAGAAAAGACGAGATGGAAGTCAATGACCCACTTGATTCACCAGACACGAGCGAGCCAGCACCTCCGATGCGTTTGGACACTGCAGGCAGTATGTCTGGCCACCTCTGTGATAGCTGCTGCAGCACATGTGTGACATCAGTAGCAGCATCCTCACTGGTGACACACCTGTCTAAGCAGCTTTGCAGAGACTTTCTTCTTCGCCATCTCTGCACTCTGCCTGCCGGCTGTTTCTTGAACTTTGGCGACTTGATCACTTTCTGGCGCGCGTTGGTCGAGGCTGCTTTGGCTTTTGGCTTCGCACTGGCCTGAGATTGCGCAGCTGCCCGCTCGATGAGCTCAGTCCGCTGGGCCTTGCTGAGGGTTGTCCATTTTTCTTTCCACACGTAACCCTCCAGCCAAAGTCGCTGAGCTGCATTGAGCCCACGCCCGTCCACTGCTGCTGCTGCAGCTTTCCCTCGCGGCCGTTTGGCTTCTCCAGGCACGGCTTCCCGAGCACGGGCTACTAGGACCGGACCTTCCACATCATCCTGTAAAGCTTCCTTCAACAGCAGCCGCATGCCAGCCATTGCTTTCGGCGTCTTCCCCATCGCTGTAGAAAAAAAGAGTATTCGTAGGGTATCGACAGGGGTCAAACTGGTCTTGGCATCACATGACAAGTTGGGCCTATACAGAGGGGTATCGATAGGGTATCGATAGGGCTATCCTGAAGACCTCCTCTGATCACTAGATTTCGGGCCAAGAAAACGTAAGATTCTGAAGGAGTGGCTCGTATGACTCGGCTGTTATCAATGACCAACCAGCTCCAATACCACAAGCTACCCTGCACTGGCATAGCCCTCTTCGTTGGGCAAACCACTACCG